ATCTTGGGGAGTGGGAAGCAATCCTTCGGACAAGCTTGGTTTAGGTCGGTATAATCGATGCACATGCACCATTTACCGTTGGCCTTCTTTACTAGGACAGGGTTGGCTACCCAGCTCGGGTAATGAACCTCTCTAATAAAGTTGGCTGCGAGGAGCTTCTCGACCTCCTCATCAACTGCTTTCCAGCGCTCTGGGGCTAAGTTGTGTTTCTTCTGTCTAGCGGGCCTAACTACAGGATCAGTATTCAGCTTGTGGGTTATGATGCTAGGGTCTATGCTGGGCATCTTTGCCACGAACCATGCAAAAATATCTAAATTTTCAAATAGAAAACTTACCAGTTGGGATCGTAGAGGCTCCTCAATTGAAGCGCCAATTTGGAGTGTCCGAGCTGGGTCCTCTGCCGAAGTTGGGAGGGAAACTGTCTCTTATGTGGGAGCATCTCGCTCCTCGCACTGCTTCGCAGGTCACTCCAGCTCGAGGTCGTCTGCCACCTTGGCTTTCCCTTTGAGGGCGGCGACATAGCACTTGCGAGACTCAAGCTGATCGCCTCGCGCCACCCCAACTCCGAAGTCCGTAGGGAACTTCATCGCCAGATAGTAGGTGGAAACCACTGTACGTAGGGCGTGGGTGATGGGCCGACCTATTATGGCGTTGTACGGAGAGGGAGTCACGACCAACAAGAAGTCATGGTTGAGCGTCACTATACTAGGCCAAGTACCGACCTCCACAGGTACAGTGATTCTCCCCAGGGGCCTGACTTCCTCTCCGTTGAAGCCCACCAAGGGAGTACTTGCGGGCTTGAGGTTGCTCTCTTGGAGCTGAAGCTTGTCGAATGCCGCCTTGAAAAGAATGTCCGCCGAACTGCCGGAGTTGACGAGGACACGCTTGACTTCGAAGTCGTTAATCCTTATCTTCACGATGAGTGCATCATCGTGAGAGTAGTGGACCCCGCGTGCATCGTCTTCAGTGAAGAAGATCGGATCTTCTGTCCTTGGCCACTTCGGGGGGTTCTGTTCTTCCCTTCCGACCTCTCGAGCTGAAGTCCGAGCTGCGGCCGAGGTGCAGCCCGCGACGATCGAACCTCAGCTTGCCTACTGCAGGATTCGGGAGCGTCTCTACTTTGCTCCCCCTGCCGACCTGCTTTATTATTATTATTATTATTTTGTACAAAATTTCTTAAGTATTCGCGACGGATGAGCATTTTTATCTCGTCGCGGAGGTTCTTACAACTCTAGGTACTGTGACCGTGATCTTTATGAAAACTACAATACAAGTTCTTATTTCTTACACTAGGGTCCCCTCTCAGCCGGGGTGGCCACTTCACGTACGGGGCGTCCTTGATCGCCATAAGGATCTCGGCCCGCTTTGCGTTCAGGGGCGTGTAGTCTGTCCTCTCTACTGGTGGAGCTTGGAAAGGCTGACCTGGCCTTGCCCCCCGAGCTAGGTCCTTTTTCTTCTTGTTGTCCCCTTGGGTCGAGGACTCGGCTTCCCTTTTTCTTTTCTCAGGCACTTTCTCATTTTTCTGGCCGATCACCTCCTCTGTCCCTATGAACTGGTCCGCGAGCTTGAGGAACTTGGTTACAGTCTTGGGCCGATTGACCACCACGTGCCACTTGAATTCTTTGTGCGTGATGCTTCTCTTGGCCGTTATAAGCCGAAGTGCGGGGTCCAGGTCGGGTATCTGTAAACAAGCGTCATTGAACCGCTCGATATAACTCTAGATAAATTCTCCTTCCCTTTGGACTATGCCAAGTAGGCTCTCCTGGGTTCCCGGGCATCGCTTGCTGGTGACGAAATGAGAAGTGAAAACTTGCACGAATTGTGACCAGCTTTTTATCGATCCAGGCGCGAGGTTCCTGTACCATGTACGGGCCACTCCTTTGAAAGTGGTGGAGAAAGCCACACACATGCAGGACTCACTGGCCCTTGCCAAGTGCATCTGTGACTGAAAGGCGTCTACGTGATCATTCGGGTAGAACGATCCGTCATATTTGTCCAGGGGAGGTAGTTTAAAGTCCTTGGGCATTGGGACGACCAAGAGTTCAGGAGACAGAGGGGATGGTATAGAGAGGAGCGGAGTGGCTTTTATTTCACCCGAGCTTATCTCTTCCTTACCCTTGAGCTCGGGCAGGTTGTGTGTTGCAGTTCAGTTAATTCGGCGACGTCTCCACTGCTTTTTTGCGGGCTCTACATTGGTGTTGCTGGCCTCGGTATTGTCGGGCACAGTTTTCGCAGGGAGGGGGACGGATTGCTAGTGAGGGCTGCGGATAGAGGGATCTTGCCTGGAGTCTACAGCCAAGACCTCGAACTGGTTCTCCACAAGCGGGGCCACGAACTCGGAAAGCTGAGGTGATGCGGGCCTAGTAGGCAGGGACCCTCCCGACCTGACTGCGCACGGCAAGGCAGGGGTGACTAGTCTTTCCCTCCTCCCGTGGGATGAGACTTGACTCTTGAGAGGATTCTGGGTCTGAGAGGTCTCTCCCCGGCGAGAAGGACGCTCGTTCTGATGGCGAGGCCAGACTTGTTGCGCGGTTGGATGCCGAGGAGGAAGCGGCTGCTGAGTCTGAGGCAGCAGAGGAAACTGCTGCTGATAGTGATGTTGAGAAACTTGGTGCAGCACTTGCTGTTGATATAGTTGGAATTGTTGAACCTGTTGCATCTGAGCTTGCATAGCTCGCATGCATTGCACCAGGTCTTCAAGCTGGTTTTGGGTGGTCACGGGAGGAACAAAGAAGGGCTCAGTGAAGGTTGTTCCAACCGTGAAAGGGAGTGGAGCGTTCACGGGGAACTCCATCCGCAAAGAGGGGGATGGTGAACTGTCCAATATATATATATATATAAAGACATATTTTATAATTTTAAGTATAATTATATAAAATTTGTATTAAAATCAATAAATATTATAGTATAATTGGATTCAGATTTTAATTGGATCGGATGGAGTTAAATCCAAATATGATCCTATTATTAATGAGATCAAATCACAAGATCTGAACCCAATCTGATTATATAAACACATCACCCAAATCTAAGATAATTGGATTGGGCAACAGATTTTTGAATATCATTGCCAAGCCTAGCCACAATGGAGCCTAATATGTATCTTGGCCTTCGCCCTCTAAATGGGATCTGAACATGGATTTCTATGGTTCTTCCCTTCAACATCTTGAGTTTATCCTTAGTTTCAGTTTGACATAATGATCTAAAGCCCCAAGTATATCTTTCTTTTTAAGCTTCATTTCCCTTAGAACCCTCACAAGGAGAATTTCAACAGGCCTCTTGAATGAATACTTTGCAACTTACAACAGAGAGAGAAAGAGAGAGAGAGCTTACTTTGTCAAGGGATTTTACATGAAAAGGATATAGGAAACAACATGAATAAAATAACTAGAACAAAATCTGAATTTTACTTTGAGGGGTCAATGATTTGCATTGCTACGATTTAGGGGCCATAGATCATATTTGCCACCTGATCTTTGATAAGTTCCTACAAAGGTTTTAGAAGATTAGTACGTTCTCAAGGGGCTGCAGGTACTAATGCAAACCAAGGGGAAGCTTTGGATGAAAAGAAAGGTAATATGGATATTGGCATATTATAATTTAACAATGGATATGACAAGGGATTGACATTTTTAAGTCAATTTCCAGACCTCAGTATTTATCATTTACCCTGAGACATAACATCAACTGATTCCTTTTTATCTATCTAGACACAGGTAAATTTTGGCTGTTGGGGTTCAATAATATAGGCTGTTGAGATAATTTTTGGGCTGGGCACGTTCTAGGCAGTTCACCTATTCATGTCCATGCTTTGATTTTTAATTAAAATAAATTAAGATGTAATTACTAATTTACGTATTCTCATGATAACGTAGCATTTTCAGAACTTATCTCAACAGCATAGGCTGTTGGCCCCCAACAGCTAAAGATTTTCCATCTAAACACGGCTGTGTCTATTTCATTGGGGCTCGCAAGGAACATCACAATAATAATAATATAATGTAGAAGCAAACGGGTTAGGCAGGCAAAGGGCCCTTTCAGTTCCTCTATATACGCAAGTGAGTAATTAAAAGCTTAATTTATGGCCACCACCACCTCTTGTCCTTTGTTATTTTGTTTTCCAAAACTAGAGGATTCACACCTTTTTTTTTTTTTTTTAAGCCAGGGTATCACACTTATGTATTATAAATTTTAGGGTCATTTACTAGAACACCCCCTATAGTTTCACAGATTTATTTAAACCTAGCCTATAGTTTGTATTTTACTAAAACCCTCTTATAGTTTGCAATCTATTTACTTAATCAGCCTTTCATAAAGAGTTATTTGTTTTGCCATATGAAAATAGTAACATGATCACCTAAACTAAGTGAAAAATGTTCGAAGGCATGAACCTACGATTGTTTATTTCAAAAGTACCCCTAAACTAAGTGAAAAATGTTCAAAGGTATGGATCCAAGGTTGTTTATTCCAAAACTATCCCTTACACTTTTTTGTATAGAAAATAAAATTGACTAAATAGAGAAAAATAAAGTGGTTGTCCATGTTTTACTAGAAGCATTACTTTTAGTTTCTTTTGATTAAATTTTATTTGAATAGGTGTTAGGTATAAAACTGTTATTTTTTAATTTCAAAACATAGAAGGTTGATTAAGTAAATTGATTGCAAACTATTGGAGATATTTTAGTAAAACACAAACTATAGCCTATAAGGTATGTTTTAATAAATTCATGAAACTACATGGGGTGTTTTAGTAAATGCCCTAAATTTTATATATAAAATAAAATAAGTTTTAATACAGCTAATGTGATTTTAATATAGTTAATGTTTTGACAATTAAATAAATTTTCCCAAGAAGAAAGTCAATATAAGTAACTTAAAAGAGTCGATAATAATTATATATATATCCCCTTCATGCATAAACCAGCCGCCAACCTCTACTGTATAGGTTTTGTCATTTCTCCAACGATTATGCTATTATAAATTACACTCACTTCATTCTCTTATTGCTCATGTATGCTTAGTTGGCTTTACGAGAGCTTCTCTCACTGCCTATCTCATTTCTTTATCCGATATGATTTCTCCAAGCCTTCCAATGGAGCTTTGTTTTCTGGTACGTAATTAAAGAATTTCTCATCTTTGTTCAACTCTTCACATGTGTTCTTTTCGTAGTGTTTTTCTTGTAATTTATTACTAACTTCAGCAAGAAAGACATTGGAAAGACTTCTGTGTAAGTATTAATTTAAGAAAAACATTTTGCAGCTTGTACTTGCAGTAGCTGTGTCAAGTGATGCTGCTCTATCTTCTGAGATTTACTGGAATTCAATGCTACCCAATACTCCAATGCCAAAATTGGTTCAGCATCAATTAATATCTGGTTTTTCCCACAATCTATTAGCTTAACCTAGTTATGCTACAGTTGACATTTTCTTATTGTTCTTTCTTTTTAACGTTTATAAATCTGAATTCAAATCATCAGGTGCCTATGTAGATTCTGAACTGCGAGGTCTTGGAAAGATGATTGTAATTCCTACCGCCCGCGACGACAACATAGGGTGGTCTTTTCAGAAATGGGGTTCTGCGAAGGAGAACCAGGGAGTATCAGGTTTTCAAAATAAGAAACAACTGAATGTTGATAAAGACGTCGATTACTACTTCTTCGAGGAAAACTTGTATCCAGGCAGAAAGATGACTTTGGAGCTATCAGGAGACCATACAAAAGCTATCCTCTTATCCCGCCAAGTGGCGGATTCAATTCCCTTCTCCTCTAACGAATTACCAGACATCTTACATCGGTTCTCCGTGAATGACAGATCAATACAAGCAGAGGCCATGAAGGAGACAATCGTGTCTTGTGAAAGGCCTGGAGATAACGTAGAAGCAAAGCGCTGTGCAACCTCATTAGAGTCGATGATAGACTTCAGCATTTCAAAGCTGGGGAAGAACATCAAGGCCGTGACGACGGAATTTGATGGAGAGAATGGGAAGAAGAAGCAGTTCATCATCTCTTCAGGAATCAAGAAAATGGGTGGAAACCCAGTTGTGTGCCATGGCATGACATACCCATACGCTGTCTACTACTGCCATGTGATACGTGCCACAAGGTCGTACGTGGTTCCATTGGTCGCTGCTGATGGGACAAAGGCAAAGGCCGTCGCTGTGTGCCACACTGACACTAAGGATTTCAGCCCTGACCACATTGCCTTCCAATTGCTTGACATTAAGCCGGGGGGAGTTCCTATTTGCCACTTCCTTCCGGATGATACCATTTCCTGGTTTCCCAACTAGCTAGAATTTCATATATATGACTAGTAGTACTAATATATATCTCCCTCCAGGCTTGTATGAAATGTGTGTGTCTTTGCTATTTATATATATAGCACCTTAATTGTCTCCACTACATCTCTGCTATATGTCAACCTTCGCCTATGTATTGCTTGTGTGTATTTCACATCTTTCATTTGCATGCATGCATGTTATTTGTTGGACTGTCCAATCTCCATGTTTGTTTATATGGTTTTAATAAATTAGTTCTTCGTCTCCTCTTCTTAATATTCTTTGAGTAAATCTCTTAAACTACTACTGTCCATGAAATTGGCAAGTATAATCTTAACTTTTTTTTGACAATTGTCATGGTTGTTAAGTGTTAAACGAAGGAAACAGAATATCGAATTTATTCTACATTATTTATCAAATTTTCAAAATAAAACCCAAGTGATGAAAAACTCTTGGTTTCCAATTTTTTTCAAAGCTTTGCTTAGAAAAGAAATCCATGCCTCTTTGTTCTCGTGCGATTGTTCATCCTACACCTCGCCCAAGTATGCAGCTGCCACCAAACCCTCAATAACTATAGTGCTGAGTTCAGATACCTCCACCAGCTCCTCCGCCACCAAGTTTTAATACCTCCCAGAGGCTGAAATCATAGTTGTCTGTGTCAAATGCGTCAGTTCTGGAGAAAAAAAAACGGAACTGAACTCGAATGATCACAGTCTCTCCCAACAAGCGCCAGCCTTCCCTTTCGCCTCACCAGCTGCGAACTCCAGTCGATCTGCCTTCTACCTTATTGAGGATAAATAGAACCCAAATGTGGGGAAAAAATCGAGACACAACTCGGGCTCAGGGCACTGATGCAGCTTTGTTCAATTCCACGTTGGACAAAAGGGAAAAATGAATGTGGTGAGATAATAAGTAAGAAACAGAAGCTTTGTCAAGGTTATACAAATTTGGACACTTTTACCAACTCTTCATGACTTATTCCCTTGGGTTTGTCGACTCACCGAGCTAGGGACCCCCAACTTCTGTTATCGACGAAGCTTGTGCAGCCTGTTGGGTATTCTGCGATTCTGATGAAATAAAAGAATACTGATTGCTGTTAGCATGAATATAGAAAGAAAGAAAGAAAAACAAAAGAAACAACTCCTTCCAGAAAGAGATGGTAATATCCGTGCTTTCACGGATAAACACCCGTCTCACTGAGATTGACAATGATCATGCAATACCCAGGAACGTGTCGTAGAAGAAGAATACGATGAAGTGCTCCCCGGTAATCCGTTCCCCTAAAATAGATCCGATAGGTAATTCCCCAAATCATTGGGGGCAAACCTGACCACCGACTCTGCATTGTTCTCATCTCTCAATGGGTTCCGATACCTGTCATAAAACGCCCGATACGCCGGTGCGAATTTCTTCACAATTGACACTTTAATCTCATCCCTCAGCCTCTCGTCCATTACCTCCCACGACGACTGCTTCTTCTACGCTTCGTCGGAAGCTGTATTGAAATAAAACAATACTAAACGTAGCAGGGGAGCCCCCGGTTGCCCGAATGAACGGCAAGGAACCACGGAGGTTGGCACGGCCAGAGCCCTGTTGAGACTGTGTAAGAAGGGCAAGTCTTGGCACACGTTTGCCAGTGCTTGCAGGCTGTTGTAGCACGAACCAAGCAGTCCAGCGAGAGGAAGGAGAAGAAACACAAAGAACTGAGTGAAGAAAGGTTTCTTATTAAAAACAGAAAACCAAATCAGTGGCTGACACTGGGAGTAGTTTCCTCAACTTTATGTTCGAGAAATGGGGTCACTGTAACTTTGGAGGAGAAGCTCTGAGGCGCATCTGAACATACTGTCTTTAGAACGTTATTTGCCCCCACTCAGTTTTACTGAGTTTGCTGTTGGGTTACAGGCAAATTCGTTCCTAGGATACAACAGAGACTTGGGCGAGAATCTGCAACTAGCAAAGTTGAAGAGTCTCCAAATAAACTTTCTGTGAGACTGTAGCAGACCGGACTGAGAGAGAGAGAGAGTGAATTTCGAAATTGTGTGTTTTAGAGTCTGATTCATGCTCCCTAAATAATCTGTGAAGAGGTATGAAATTGTGACTGTTTAAAAAGTAGTTAACAGTTAGTGACTGTTAACTTTGAATTGTGCCTCTTGATCACACTCGATTGAATCGTAACCGTTGATCTCATCAACGGTGATCAACAGTCAACAACGCACCAAAACCAAAGTCACCCATCGCGAGCCACGCGGGTGCAAGCAAAGTGCGCCTTTAAAGCGCCTCATTGCGCCGCACACACGCATGCACACGCGTTGCATGGTATCGAATCCCCATACTCTCCTCTACTAATTCTAAAGAGTGTAAATCAGCTCCTATTGAAATACTGAAAACAAAACTTATAATTTTYCAATGTGGGACAAGTTCAAAACTGGGTTTTGTAAGAAAAAAAAAAAAAAAAAAAAAACTGATTTTTCAATCAAGTGTATAGATGCAATTTCTCGTGTAATTGACCAATCAAACCCATTGAATTTAATCTCTTATGATATTAAAATCCAACACTTTCTTCATCTCCTTTTCACCAATGTTTGCCGATCAAAAGTTGTAGTTACCACCTTTGCCTACAATGATGTTTAAGAAATTTACCCTATTTTTTTTAAGGAAGTAATCATCTTCTAGTTAGCTAATAAGAAAAGTCCCAATCTTTTAATTACAACGTGGTACTATAAAAATGGAGTGTGTTCTGTGCACACGTGGGTGCACTAGATGCGTGAACCTGTGAATAGGATTCGAACACGTCGACCATCCCAACGTTTACAGTCAAACGCACATTAATGTGGTCTGGTTGGTTCCATCAGACACGAACCGATTCCAAGTTCTCTTCTTCTTCTCCTCTCCATAATTCTTTTCTCTTCTCCGGTGGTAGGGTTCCTCTTTCATTCTTCTTCTTCCTCTTCTTCTTCTTACAAGTGTCCGCTTCTATTCTGTTTTCAACATAAACGTCTCAGCTGCATTGCTAGCTCTAACATGTCCTTCTGCGATTTAAGGGCTCCAGCTGAAACATGATGAATTGGATAAGGTAGAGAAGCAATTGTGGTCGTTTGAATCAAAAGAGGTGGTCATTGGGCTTCACAATGAAAGTTCCTCTTACAACAGGAGCCTCACCATGGCTTTCCAAACCCATTTTGGTTATCACAACTTGCAGCTTCGTCCCCACCAACAGAAGCATCTGCAACACCAAAGAAATTGATTAATCAATTTCCTCTTTCTTCTACAATTTCACAATAACAAGCCATATGAAATGAAGGGCTCACCACTAAAGCAATAAATGGAAGACAAAAATAATTGTAAAATCCTGCAGATGAAAGAAAGAAAGTTAGTTGACTTTGCCTAGTTTATTATACAAAGTGGTGTTCATTGAAAACTAGAAACATTAGTGCTACCATTTGCATTGAAAAATATGAACAATACTAAGAATATCCACATCAACGGGCTGCAAAAGGAAAACAAAATAAAAGCGTCCAATAAACAGTTAATTGGATTTGAAAGTGCACCAAGACAAATATATAAATCTTATTTATAATAATCAACTGAGTGATATCTTCCTCTAGATAATTACCTTATTTCGACCACCACGCAAAAATCTTCCTCCATAGCTCGTCTGAGAAACCTTTGGAAGTCGAACTCACTACCTTCAGCAAAGTGAGACTAGGAGGAGAGAAACAGCAAGAAACATAACTTGTTAGAATCAAAACCAGGTGAAGCATTCTTCTGTGTTAATTTATTGAAACTAGTCCTAGAATCTCAAGGTAAGATATAGTACCAACCAAAGAGAGGGAAAAAATCTCAAGGAGTTCAATCCCTTTGTCCATCACCAATTGAAGGGAGAAAAGGAGTTCAATCTCTTATCTACAACAGATTTAACGTAAGTGATCAGCACAAATAACCCATTCACCTTCAATGTGATCAGTATACAGAATATAAGTTTCGGCCATGATATTGCATAAACCATTCTTTCTGTACATGCCAATTAAAATCAAAACAGGGGAGATACTATGAAATGCACTAGTAGGAACATACTCCAACAACCTGCATCATTTATTGATATGACTGACCATTGAACTTAAAATAAATTAACACAAAAAGGAAAAGAAGAAAAATAGAAAATTATGAAAGCCACAAAAATGCAATGCACCTCCCCAGGAATTTCCACTGGAAATGCAGCAAAAGAATGCATCACACCAGACATCATGATGATCAAGAAAACCATAGACTTCAACATCGACCTACAAACTCTGACAACATAGAGAATGAGTTAAAATAAACACAGAAGTGAATCCCAAGTTCTTTTTCCCTTCTCAGACTTGAACTTTCCAATCCCAAAAGTGCAAGAAAGGATTGCACCCACTCTAAGAGAATGGGATTAAAATAACACTGTTAAGGAATTTGGTTTAGCGATATGAATTAGATGTTTGGGATTGCAGATTTTTTTGTCTCCTAGTTATTTCAGATTTTAGTTCCAAGGTAGAATTGGTTGAATTACAGTTTGCCTAGCAGTGTTTGGCTGAAATCACATTCTTAGGGGTTAAGTTCCTAGTGTCATACATTCAGAGGATAAAGACCTGCCATCCATCGCTACAAGAAAAAATTGTTTTAGCAACGAACAAAACCATTGCTAAACGCTCCAAAAAAACGTCGCTAAAGGCTATAACAACAGTTCAGCAACGGTTTTCTTTCTGTGGCAGATATTGGCGTGGCTAAGCTTATAGCCACGGATACTGTAATCGTAATTATAAATATATGTAAAGCCACGGTTTTAACCGTTGCTAATTTAAAACTTTATTGCGACGGATTTATTATGTATCGTTGCTATATCAATTTGTAGTAATGGTTTTAGCTATGGCTATAGAATATGCATTATTGATCAATAACTAACAATAGCAACGATTTTAGGTAAAACCGTCCCTTATCATGACTTTAGCACCTCCCAAACCCTAGATTTTAAAACCCTAGCCGCCACCTCTCCATTCCCCCTTAAATTCAAATTTTAAATAAAAATTTAAGACTCCCCGTTTTTAGGCCATTAATAAATAGACCTGTTCATGGGCCGGACCAGGCTTTTACTCTATATTAACAAATTTTTTTAAGGTCTGAGCTCGAACCTGACCCGACCATTGGGCCTACAATTTGGGCCCGAGCCCGGCCCTGATAAAAAGCCCGAAGCCCGGGCTTGGGCTCGAGCCCGAAATTTAGCCCATGTTGTTACTACTGTTGAAGCAGCTGA